AAATTTTATTTGGAAAAAAAATTAGGCATAATTTTGCTGGCTGTACTCCAAATTATTTGTTCTATATATTTTTTTAATCTTTCATACAAAAACCATACGCAGAATCATTGAATGAAACCGGGTGTTCCATTAGCGGGAACACTGCACCTTTAGCGATCTCATGCTGTTACAAATCAGAACATCTGTGCTTAGGAGAGAACATCCATTGTTTATGTTTTCTGTTTCCGTTTGTTTTTTTTTTTTCGGGGGGGGGGGGGGGGGGGGGAATTAATTCAAACAAATAAGTATTGAGAGGTGGGGTGAGGTGTGTTTTGTGTTATGAAAGCCCTAATATTGGCATCTTGAATTTTTTGGGAGTAGTTTTTTTTAGGCGGGAATGTTAGTAGCTTGACTCATCTTTACTTAGACATGTGCGAATTTTTTGCTGTCGCATTTTAGTCTCATTCCCATTTATTTTCAATAATTGTGTAGATATTTTTCATGTATGTTATATATATAGGCTTGTTTTTTTATTGTTAATATTAATCGTAGTTATTTTTTTATTATTAATTTCCATAAATGGCATGGAGAGGTCTACTCTTTCCGAAAATTTGTAAATATTTTTTTGTATATAGGACTTGTGTGGTATAGATATTTATCTCATTTTATCCGTATATATTCAAGAATACTGTTATATCCAGGAAAAAAACATGTATACAGCCATAATACAGAGTTTTTAATTCTTATATACAACGCTTCTACTCATTTTCGTGCTTCATTCCCAATGCTCGCTTAGTCGCACTTTTAAAAAGCTCTGGCGGCGCAGTGTTCCACCTCATGGAACACCACCCAGAATTAAACGGTTTAAGTGCAATTTTTACAAAATTTACTAGTATACTCCTTTAGGACTAAATAGACTGCATACAACTTTTTTTGTTGAAATTCTGACGTTAACGTATAGTCAAAATATTCATTTATTACTTCGAATATTTTTTCTCCAGTTTTTTTTCCTTCCAAACTTTTGCAACATAAAAACGTTTCTATTCTATCTTTCAATTAAAAATAAACCTAACGTAAATAATTAGTTGTGACATTTTAGTAATATCAGTAGTCTTGTCCAGTTGTAAAGCAAATACAGGTGAATTTTGTATGCGTTTTATTACTTCTGACTCGATATTTCATGACATTTCGGAAATCCTCCGAGACACGGTTTCTCTTGATAATGGTATTGTTTTTAGTTCATTTCCATATTTATCGCCATGCATAATTGATGTCATCTTAGTTGCTGCAGGAAGGATAAGGGATTCTCCAACTGTATGGGGTTTCATTGTTTTTCCTATTAGGTAAGAAACTTCTAAAGAAGCTCGTAATGCTTTCTGAATTATTGTTGTAAATTTCTTTAAATGTGCACTTTGAATTTTCAGATTTTCAGCTCGTCTTTGAAAAAAATTGGCATGTTTATTATGAAGTTCTTTATGTTTAGTTTCCAGGTGCCTTTTTAATTTAGCTGGTTTCATGCTCTCATTTGCTAATTTTTCGTTGCAAATGACACATATCGGGCGTTCTTCATCATCAATACTTAATAAATTCCTCATTGTATTTTCTTATTCGAGAAATTCAATAAAATTAACAGAGATCTTTCTCTAATGATAGTACATACCTGATAACAAAGAGTAACAAAGCCCGATAAAAATATAAAAAATCATAATTACACAACGTCACATGATAAAACTCGAGGATAAACTAAAACAATTGCAGGCCAACTGCTACATGCTACAACTTCATATCTTCACTCTGACTATCAGATACACCGCGTACCTCGCCATCTGATTGGCTGATCACGGAAGCGAATTTTTCCCCTTTCCCTGCAGTTAATGTCTAGTCAAATAGGCGCTTTTCAGTAAAACTGGCAAATTACTGCGAAAAGGGCGCTATCTACCGGAGTGAAAAACTTGCATCTTCACACTTTACATACATTACGCATTACGGTCAAAGAAAGAACGGACCGCATGAAATTGCAATTAAACAGCGAGTGACGGCGCTTCACTCTTTATATGTACACTGTATGATATGCAGCATGCAGGCATAATGCATTTCATAAAAATTTGGCGACTCCTAGTTTGTGCACCACTGCTCTAGAGGCTCTGTGGTTACGACTTGAAACCACTGCTCTTCACAATGGCGTTTGCTTTCTTCTCAAATAGGAATGTTTATTTTTACCCGAGTATAGATAAGGGGTTTTGAAACCACATAGTTATTTTTTTTATTACTAAACAATACATGCACCTGGCCAGTAAAAAGGTCTTTCTTTTCCAGAGATTTTTCTCTGACCTCAACACACTTGCTTCCCAAGCTAGTATTGTGATTTTATAAATTATTTCCTGTGGTTTAAATTTAATGTAAATATACTTTGCTATAATTAAAAATAGAAATCACGTTAAGTTTTATTTAAATTAAAAATATCTTCTGAATATTTTGGGATGAAATACGAATAAAATAAGTATGAATGGAAAACAAATGATCCATACCAAAGCCAAAAAGACCAGCCCCTCCCCCATTAACATAAAAAAACCACAAATTTCATGTGCCAGATGAAAATAAACTAAATAACGCTGAACATATAACGGTGAAATTTAGATCCAGTCAGTGTACATTTTGTAGCACAAGGAAGAAACCTCATAGAAGAAGATACATGTGTGAAACATGTAATGTGGGTCTATGCATGTACCAAAATGACAAAACATGCTTTGAACAGTATCACAAAAAAAATTTCTTTGGGGAAAAAAAAAAAAAAAAAAAAAAAAAAAAAAAAAAAAAAGTCCTTTTTTTTAGCCTTATTTTACTGAGTTTTTTAATCCATTTAGCCAAATGTCCTTATTATGTAGGTACTTATATTTTCACTGCTATAGAAAAATTACATAAATGTTTATTTTTTAATTTTTCCTGATGATTTACTTTGTAAAATAATTATACATAATGCAATTTTTACATAATTTTTTTTTTAAATTCATAAATTTCGTCATTTATAGGAAACCCGCACGGAGAAAGGTAAGTTTTTTTTTCCTACTGCCTCAGTAAGTTTCAAAGTCCTAGACGCATGGTGATTTCACAGTGCGACCACCACCCACAGAACAATGGGCAAGAGTAGATTTTTTTAATTCATATATTATTTATCTCAAGGATCATAATATTCAATTTCTAGAGTTTTTTTTGTTAAAAAATTATAAAAATAATATCACGCATGTCAAAGGGTTAAAGCATACTGTTTTAGGTTAGTGAATTTTTTAACACATATCTCAATTTGGCGCCCCTATTTATGCAAGTCCCTGCATCCATGGATGCCTGTATAGCAGTGGCGTAGCGAGGGGGGGCAAGGGGGTGTATGATGCCCCGGGTGCCGCTCGCAAGGGGGCGCCAAATGGTCTCCAAACAAGATTTTCCGGAAATTTTCAATTTTTATTTTGATAGATTTCTAGAAAACGTATTTAAAATTAATAATCACTGTAATACAATTAATTATTTATTTCCTTGTATTGCCTGATAAAATGTTTGCAGTAACAAACCAAATATCTCCGTTATACAAAACATTCTTTCTGACCACTTTATTTCTCTAAAACAGAGATATTTTTATTTTTTTTAAAGGAAATGCACATATAGCTCCGGTTTTTATTTTAAAAACGATAACACGACCTTGTCCCGAATTTCTCAAACATATCCATTTTTTCCAGAAAAACCGATTCCATGGTCTGAAAAAAATTACATTTTTGGAAACTCCTAACGCTTCCGCTACAAAGGATAGCGTTTCATTCTCCTTAATGACTGATGGCCTTCCTGGTTACCGATTCAACTAAGTCATCTTGCTGAACATCAAATATTCATTGCTACAAAGCATTTCAACGCATGTCAATTGTTTTAATCTGCTACAACAAAAGGAATGCTGCAGGCCGCTCCTTACTCCTTATCTAAAACACATAGTTTTCGACGTCACAAAGTAAATTTACATATTCCCAATTTTGTAAACATTATAATTTTCCTTTATAATCTCTTCTATTTCCTTTTCTGAAATAGATTATTGATTTTATGGTTATTTCATACCGAACCACAATATTCCCTAATTGTTTTGAGCAGTGAATGTGACTGCAAAATGTTCTAAAACTCCATTACAGATCTATAGAGAAAATGTTTTTCTAAGCCTAAGAGTCGCACTTCAAATATTCTAACTATTTTATTATCAAATGCTAGCTATGAACGTTCGTTCAGCAAATTAAAATTAATTTTGACATATTTACAATCAACGATGGGACGAGATCCCCTAAGTCATCTGGCATTTTGAATGTGGAAAGAGAAGAATTTGAAAGGATCGACTTTGATGAAGTAATTGATAAATTTGCTTCATCCAAGGCAAGAAAATGTATACATAGTAATTAAGTATATAATGTATTATAACATTGTATTATTATTAAAAATATATCTACTTATCTATAATATAAAATTTTAATTGTTTAAAAACTGTACTTTTTTAAAAACAATTATAAAAATATGTAAAAATAAATATACTTTTTTAACTAATTCTAGATCATCGTAAGTCTGATTTTCCGCCGATACAGATACATTTCAGAATCCAATGCTAGTGTGGTTTAGGTAGTGACTATTCTTAATATATTTTAGAGTATTTTATGCAGCATTCAGCATTTTAATATTATTGCATTATTTTTATTACGAATATATTCTACACATGATATTTCTATCAGTGTTTTTTTTTTGTGGGGGGGGGGCGCCAAAAAGGTATTTTGCCCCGGGTGCCAGTTATGCTTGCTACGCCACTGCTGTATAGCCCACTTCTTAATTTCGCACTGACAACATTATTTCATTATAAAAAACATGTTTTCAATTGAGTAAAGAAGATCAGTTGCATAAAGTTTATTCAAAACCTAAATGCAATCAATGTGTTGAGTGCATCATTATCAACAGCATCATTAGTTTAAAACTCACGAGTTTATTTAAAATGAATGCAAATTATCTAAGAATATGAGAATTTTATTAACGGCAAGACAATAAAAAACATTCAAATATTTCATAATAAACTACAAATAGATAAATACACTGTTTAATTAAAATAATTACAGTATCTTCTTAAAACTTTTATAATTACAGCTAGAAAGCTTAATTGAAGCTTGTAAATATCTACTTCATATCACAGTTGCCAAATCTGAAAAATTTAGCTGCCATTACACATTGTAAGGGGCTGAAACTTATAATAGCACATATTCAAATAAGTTAATTATCATCTTCATTTATGCAGTTTTCTATCATTTCCTTCAGATTTGGATTCTCCATTGCAGCAGCAATTCGTTCTTTATCATTTAACTGTTTGCTGACTGTAAAAGTTCATAGGTAATTGCATGTTCTTAACAAATATTAGCAAATATTTATTTTCATTATTTAAAATAAATTTTTAGTTTTTCTAAATAATAAATCTCTTAAATTATAAGTAGAAAATTAACACTCATGAATAAGTAACTTAGGAAATTCTTAAAATACAAATGCTAAGATTTGCATTTAAGTAAGCATAAGAAGATTTATAATAAATACTAATAAAGCAATACAAAAACAAAATTTCATCGAATCACATAAGCATAACTTTGTTCAATGACTTTTTACTATGCCTCTGGCAGCATAAAAATTCCTTTTTTAATAAAAAAATCATTAAGTTTATTTGTAGGGAATTTATCGATGTGTTATTTGATAATCTCCAAAGAAATTAATTCCAGGCCATTCAGAGAATTTTGAAGTGATCTGAAGAAGTGAAAATCTGAAGGGCCAAGATATGGTGATTATGGATGGGTGACACAAAATAACCCAGGCATAATCAATTAGTATTTATCTGATACAGTCAGTCAATATATGCTGCTGAACATTGTGATGATGGGAGACAACTCCTCTACAGTTGGTCAATTTTGGGTGCTTTGCTTCGATTTCTGCTTTTAAAACTGGCATTTGGGAACATTATTTTTCTGAATTTATTACCTGATTGGAGGCAACAATGCACAGTATACAGTTCCTTTGTAGTTCCACACAAAGCATTAATTTTTGGTATGCTGGCCCCCTTGATTTTCCAATTTGGCTTAACCCAAGATATTTTTCTTGTAACATTATTAGCATCTATTTCTGATGTTCAGTAATAAGCCATTTGAAAAAAGAAACTTCTTTATTTCTCCTCAGCAGAGCATTATGTGTCGAAATTTGAGCAAGCATATTCTGCTTGGTTAAAGTATGGAGAATCCATACATCATTACAGTTTACATACCCAGTCTTTTTCGAGTGATCATGTACTGTAGTTTTTAGAATATTATTCTGCCTGATAAGTGCATGAACTATTTAATGTGGATTTTCAAGACAGCTTCTTTTAATAGGTCCTTGTTTGCAGAAGGCATCACCCAGAGTGGGCATCATCTTTAAGGCTGAAATTCCCACACTTAATCTTCTCAAACTACTCCAAGTACAGCACAAATTTACGTCTGACTAGCACGTTTTCCCCTTATTTAATATAAAAGAGCATATAAAAAAATGAAATTTTTCATTCTTCACAGTAAAACTGCACTAAAAAAAAAAAAAACAATGGCACAACACATGCTAGAATCAAGCAATACGAGAGAAAAGATCGCTCTTAAACATCTGCTTTGATCAAGGATAGCAGCTGTAGCCAAATTAACAGAAGAGAATGTGCTTCAATTTGAAAAACTACAGAACTTTCCAGATGACTTAACACTTATTCTAGGAGTTGAATTGTACTTAACATATATTTTCAATACTTTTGTTCTTCAGAGAATATTTATTTATATCTACTAATTTTTTTTTTTTTTTTTTTTTAATCTAAAAAAGCATCGACTTCTTGGTTTTCTTATTCAAAATATAAAATCAAAGCACCTTAGAAATTTCATTTACTTTTTTTACGCTACTTCATATGTTTCTTCTAATTTAAATCTTTAATTTTAGTAATATCCAAATTACTTTGTTCTAAATTACTTTTTCACTAAGATAATATTTTGGTTCTTTTTCATTTAACATATACTTTTTTGGGGCATATTTTCTTAGAACCAAGTGTTATAAGCTTCATCTGCTTTTTTTTTTGAGGGGGGAGGCCTATAAATGTGTATTTTAGTTATCAATACAATCAAACTTTCATTTAAACAGTTTTTTTTTTCAATTAATTTCCCGATACTTACGGAAAATCAACCACAAGAGATGGCACCAAACCCAGAAAAAAAAAAAAAAATGCTAAATACAAGAAAAAAACTTTTTTTTTTTTTTCCTTCAAATTTATGACCTAGATAAAAGGTTGTGTGCACAAACTTCTCTCAGGTAATTATTCCAATTTATAACAGTCTTGTCACTTAATTCTAATTCTTTTCCCCATTCAAAAGTTATCAATTCTCTGCGCCAACTATAAATGAATCGAAGTGCAGTCAAAAATGAAATAGTAGAACCTTCGAACCATGTTCCCTTTCGAATTGACACTCGCTTTGCATAAGCATTAATGTTGCAATGCCATTGCTTCTCAGCTTTTAAATAAGTGCCATTTTATGTCCATTACACATTTTTTGAGGCCAGTAAGATTCTATAACTTTGGGAATATTTAACAGCATGCTCTTCTGTAGCACGCAGGTCCCAAATTTAAATTTTTTTTTTTTTTTTTTATGTGGGATAGAGGGGGGGCGGAATTAGTCTTTACTCAAGAATAATAACTAACATGTGTAATCAAGGTTACACCAAACCCAGCGTGTTTGAAGAAGACTTTTCCATTTTTGGCAAAAAATCACATAGTCTGGCATCTTTTCTTTGGTAGGCAAAAACGGTCGACAGGATTTCCTTAAGTACCAATTTCATTATTTAGGATTTTGAATATTTTACAGTAAATCATTTTTATCATTAATTGAATTTATGTGGTGCTGCATATACTTCAAGAAGAAACTTTGTTATTTACGTATATCCTGTTGACTGTGAAACCATTGTAACCTTGAAGCCACATTTTGTTTTTATGAACAAAGATATAAATTGTTATTTTTGCATCTTTTTTTTGCATTTTAAAAACAAGAGGTATAGAATCACATTTGTGACTAGTATTAATATCAGTAAAAGTATCAATAACTGATTCTAGGCATAGATTAATGCTATATAATAGACATATTCCCCACTTTCATAACTACTATGCACATTAGGTAAAACCATTCTTTTCCAGAATATATTTAAAAAAAGGCCCTTCATTTCCAGAAAATATCTTCTATCCTTTAAACTCTCTTCTGCAGAATCTTAATTTTTATGCTGACTTTCCCCCTAAATCAATTCTTTAAAATTTCTGGCATTTTCTTCTTGACATTTTTATAAATTTCAGTAAATATTTGTATTAAGCAAGTGGAGATAAGCATTTGTGAGGTAACCTCATGAACTTGCATTCTTTTAGTAGAATAGTCAATATAGTAAAAATCTAAATTAGCATATTTGAGATTTAAGTAGTGCTGGATTATCAGTTATGACATTAGCAGAATAAAACTGAACAATGCCACAAAGCAAATCTTCTTTTCATGTTATCAAATGTACTAAGAAATAAATTTAAAAAAAAATTGCATACAGTATACAGTCAAAAGTCGTTAATCCGGACTCGTCGGGACTTCGGCGATTCCGGATTATAGATCATCAGTTTAAATCTGGTAAGTTAGCATGCAGAAATTATAAAATTAAAAATATGAAACCGTAATTTTTGAAATAAAGAACAATTATGATCTAAAGGGTATCAAAATTTACAAAAAAAAAAAAAAAAAAAAAACCCTTAATATTTATTTGTTTACTTTATTAAACATTTCTTTTAATGTAAGTTGTTTAAGTTGCTTCGTTTTTTATGTGATAATACATTCTCTTTAATTCTATAAACAGACATAATTTCTTGTTCAGTTACAAAGTTCCGCTGTTCAAGTCCTATAATTGCTGTGTCAAGAATACCGACTAATTTGTCAATCGAAATTTTTTCGTTTTCAATAACCTCTGTTACTTTCTTCGCTATCGGAAGCGAATTATAATGACGAGGAATTTGATTTAAATCATAGACGGAGTACATCGAGATGAAATACTACATTTAGTAAGGAATTATAAGTCAAATAAAATAAAAACATCTGCCCTGCAGATAAAGATAGTGCTGACAGATCAACTTCCAATTCATTGCGCGCCGCAGCGTTAAAGATAAACAAACATTAAAGTTTAGATAAACAAAGGATATGCCTTTATCCATTTTTTGTAGCAATTCCACTTTTTGTTTAATGGACTTCAAAACATACTTTCACTTTGTAGATCCTTTACATATTAGTACATATATATCAGAAATTCTATTTGACATAATCGAAAGTTCAAGCTTACTTTTATAAAATTGCTCTAACAGTCTGCAAAAAATAATAAGCCGAATCCAATTCGAAGATTAAGGAACGATGTAATCTGCAACATTAACTGAATTAGATAATTTTAGCTTAGCTTATACCGTCCGTTATACATTAAATGCGCATTCGTAAACATATTTTGCGCACGCACATATTCGCAGCTGTAAAGGTCTTACGCGCATGTGTCTACGAGACGCATGCATGCATAAAACGTTTGTAGCTGTGAGGTCATGATTATAGATCATTCTGGATTATGGGTGTCCGAATTAACGACTTTTGACTGTATTAAACTGATCATATATTTCTTTAATTTTAATGCTTTCAGTTAAGAGTGCTCACTTTCTTAAAAAGAAATTATTCATATTTATCCTGATATTTCCAAGAAAAATTCTGTAATTAATAGTTCCACAAAAGCTATTATAAATATATGAGTTATTTCTGAATCTAAAATGAAAGAATGAGCATTAAATCTAACATATATTCAAAATAACATAAATACTTCACAATTAGCAAAATTATTATAATTAAAGTAACATTAATATTAGGTTATAAATTAATAACACTAGAACACATATCTAAATGTGCTTATTCTTCATGTGAAAAAACTTAAAATCGATTTGAGATTTAAAATGCATTTTAAAGTGTAGCTGGTTAAATTTCAAAATTAATCCAAGCACAAATATGAAGAATTTCAGTATTTTTTAAAAATTTGTTGGTAAATATTACTGTAATTTTGATAAAAGTTGCAAACATTTGGAATACAGGTAACTATATAAAAAATGCGAGTTTTTTTTTTTTTTTTTTTTTTTTTAAGAGATACTTACCAGCATGTGCTGTAGCGTGAGTACCTTCTTTTAAGTATATATCCAACTGTAAAAAAGTTAAAAGAAATTTATACTTTCAAATGATATGAAACTATTTAGTACTCTACACACTTATAAAGTTTACTACCTTCAATTCTTTTCCCCAGTATCTCTCCAATTTTATTCTAACGCATAAACCTAAAATACAAAAAGTAGACATATATATCTACTATTGAAAGAGTAAAAATTTTGACAAATTTTAAGATAGAATAACAATTATCTCACCGATGACAGTAGCCAACGAACAATGCGGCACTGTAGGAGTTAATTCAATACTTACAACACGGCATTTTCCGGATATTTTAACAGATATGTCATTTTCATTAATTACTTCTAATTCTTCTAATGTTTGGGGCTTTTCAGGGTCTTTAATAGTTTTGATTAAATCTGAAAAAATATTAATAAATTAAAATGCAAGATTACTGGAGTTCAATATCAACAACAAACATAATAATAAGAATAACAACTGTACCATATATTTCACCTATTAACTCATTATTATTTTCGTTATTCCCTATGGGCGCATCCATTTTGGATATTTGTTTACATCCTGCTACTTTGGAAACACATTTCAAGAATCTGGAAATGATTTCAAGAAATTTTAAATTGTCTGCTTGGTGCAAGGTTTGGTAAACGTGAAAAATATAAATAAATACAGCAATAAATAATGAGTAATTAAAATTAAATGAAATTACTACGAGATAGAAATATAGAATGAAAAGACCAAAAAACCGGTGAGGTTACCAGGTCTGAGTGCAAGAGCAGACTGATAGAATGAGAGCTCATAATTTTTTTTTATTATTTAATTCAATTTAATTTTTTGTTAAAGCTATACATTTAGTCGCTAATATTTTGGCCATTTAAAAGAAGCTGTTGCCTGGCTAAAAGAAGCTGTTGCCTTGCTGAACTCGCCTCTGTTGCCTGGCTTCGCTAATGTTTGCATGTGGATGCAAGTTGTTTCGGTCACGCTTCTGTTTAAGTTTGACACCGGTGCTTTCAGCACCTGTCCACGTACGCAATTTAATTTTTCTCCGTCACATTTTTCGGCAAAACGTAGGAAGTACTCGTAGGACTCTTCCCGAAAATTGGGGCAAAAATCGATTAAAGAAATATAAAATAAATTTCATAAGAAAGATGGAAGATCCTAAAGTACAAGAAGTACTTCAACCTTTGCGTACGGCTGTCAAAGAACAGGTATGCAGTTTTCTGTGGTGTTTTTACTGTGTATAAATTTCATAACAATGTTTTTTTTTTCGGGGGGGGGTTTGTCTTTCTGGATTTTATAGTTTTTCAATATTCTGATTATCACGTTTGATGTATAAAAGGTATTAACATAATTTTGTTTTGTCATTTTTAAGGGAGATTTTGTGCGCTCTTTAAAAGAAACTGGAGCACCTGAGTTAGATATAAAAAAGGCAGTTAATGAGTTGAAATCAAGAAAAAAAATTTTAGAAGCAAAGGTAAATCTTTCCTGTTTTTATTCATGTTTTGAATAGTTTAATTTTTATTTACATTTAATGACTGTTTTCTATAATAATCAGATCATTTTTAAATTACCATGTATCCTAATACTACCTATTTATTTCAGGAACTAAGATTTTTTAGTTTTTAAATATTTATTAGTTGCCAACAATATTTTTTTTAGGGTATTATATCTTTGTAAACAGTATGTAAAATTGAGTGATATTATTATCGTTCATTTTAAAAATTCAAAAGTACAACATACATTTTAATATGAATGTAATGAAGCCCTCTGCAATTTTAGAACAAAAATTCCCCTGCAATATTACAACATACATTTTAATAAGAATATAACAAACCCTCTTGCAATTTTAGAACTAATTTTCCTATCAACAAAGTTAACAGTATTATATGTTGTATTCCAAGGATTTTAAGTAATAATCATTGTCAGATATAAAGTATTTGTAAACAAAGCATCAAATCGCATTCTAAGCAAAAGTAATTAATCATTTTACGAAATTTTTTCCTGTTAGTGTTGCTTTCAGATGAAGCAAGTTTTTGTTTCTAACAGCTTTTAATTTTCATTAATCTGTTTTTTAAGTTATATACTAGGTCAATAAAAAAAAAAAAAAATTAACTAATTTTTGAAAACTTGAATTAAATCTGGTCTTTAGTCTCTTCAATTTAATCTTTTTCTGCGTTTATATATTGATGTTTGCTTTTGCACTAAGCTTGTAAAGCTCCTTAGAGGGATTTTTAAGGACTCTTTTAACAATTTGCACTAAATGCTCTATATAGACTACTTATTTTAGATTTCTTTGGGAATAGACAAGGCCTTTGACAGTGCTGGATTTACGTATAAGCTACATAAGCTATAGCTTAAAGCGCCGCCCCCAATTTCTTGGGGCACCCCCAAAAAACTGTACCACATCCCATATATATATATAAAAAAAAAAAAAAAAAATGACTTAAATCCCTCCTAAAGGGACTTATATCTCAAATAATTTAGCATCTCTTCTAATCTAAATCCAGGCCTGGCCTTTGAGATGGCAAATATAAAAAGCAAAAAATAAAACACTGTGCATTATGTGATTCTTGCGATTTTTCATTATAACATCTGTGGCTTCATCTTAGAGTTGTAACTCATTGCTACTTGCTAAGACATTGATTCTTTTGTCAGGTATTGTAGATAACCTATAAAGGTGTTAGACACTTTTCAGTCAAAGGACTTTCAGAGGTCAATCTAGTCACAGTATAAGTACACTGAAACTGGTGTATAAATGCAAAAGGGGTGAAGATGAATTTGGCTGATCTTTGGAATATGGTAACTGGTAGTTTGGCGACATTTTGGAGGCGTTAAAGGTTACTACCTAGGACTTTGGTAATAATGTGAGAAGCACTCAGTTCCGATTACGCATTATTTTGTGTGAGGGAAATAAGAGATCATGAGATATGTCATGTGACATTAATGGACGAATTACAGTTGTTAATCGAAAAAGGGGGGAAATCTGGAAATTCGTATTTAGCTATATTCTGGGTTGTGTGAAACGTGACATTAATGGACGAATTACAGTTCTTAATCGGAAAAGGGGGTTAATTTGGAAAAGCTTCATTGTGTGTTGTGTGAAATAGTGTTGATTAATTTTCGAATGCATGGCGCTATGTAAAGTGAATCTAAATTTTTTATGTGTTTATCTGATAATAGTAATAAGTTGAGATTGTGTGAAAGGAAGGATATTATTAAATTAAGTTTAAATGGCGGTGCAAGAAATATGGTGAAAATGGACATTTTGTGAAAAGGAGTAAGGAAGGGTACGTGGTTGCTGAAAGTAGTTTGAGTATAGGTGAAATTTTATTAATTTCTTATTACTTGGTGAATAGACTTCCAGTTGACTACTGGATTAGGATTTAGAAATTAGCAGTAGTACTGGGCGACGTAATGAAGATTTGAAGAAGATTAGGTAAGTTAGTATTTTTAATCATTTGAGGATATTATTTTATGCATTGTTCTAAATGTAAGGAGTAAATAAAAAATGGTATTATTTGAAAATTGTTATTAGCAATGATTAGTTTAAAGTAATTAGGATTGTAATCTAATTTTTATTAATTTAATGTATGTGCTTATTTTATTTTTAAGTAGTGTTTTTCATTTAATTATATTTAATTTAATGATCGTGATTTTGTGAGTTATGTGTTTGTAGTATTTTGGAATTGTTGATAGTATACGTTGAGTATTTTTCATGCATTTTTTCGTGAAATTTTCTAATTTATGAGAAAAAAGCAGTGTACATGGATATAGTGAAGAGTGTGTGCAATGCCATTTTTGTGCAATTCTGGGATTTTTTTAAGTAAAAATAAGTCGACGTGTACTGGTTTAGTGATATTTTAATTAAATGATAGTTATTTTGTGAATTTTGTTTGTAGGAATTTGGGATACGTTTTAGTTGAATTAAACGTGCATTGAAAATTTAAATATTTGACACTAAGTATATGTAATGTTTGCGGTATGAATTCATTGGTGACGTTATAATATATAGATAATTTAGACGTAAAGTTTTTGGATATTTTATTTTATACGTGAAAATGTTCATTATTTGGAAAGGGTATATATACTTTTTCGCGATAAGGTAATTTCATATATATTCTTTTTACCGGGTTTAAAGATTCAGAAAATTGTCATGCATTTTCGTGAAATTTTTCTAATTTATGAGAAAAAAGGGTTGATCTTTACATTATGGTAACTTGGCGTTTTTTTGGCGAAAATTTGCGGACCAACTCTCCTACAGCAACCCTCTATTTTTTTTTTCCCGCCGTACAAAGTAAAGACATGTTTCTTTTCTTTTTATCTACTGAACACTTCTTCCAACAATCTACTAGCTGAATTACACTTATGCTAGAAATTTTATCTAACAAAACTGCTTAATCATGACAAATATTCACTGCAAAATTGGGAAAAAGTGCACAATACCATACTCCTAACGCGTTTTTTAAAATAACACATACACATAAACCATGTACACGCCGACTTATTTTTACTTAAAAAAACATCCCAGAATTACACAAAAGTGGCATTGCGCACACTCTTCACTATATCCATGTACACTGCTTTTTTCTCATAAATTAGAAAAATTTCATGAAAATACATGACAATTTTCTGAATCTTTAAACCCGGTAAAAAGAACATATATGAAATTACCTGATCGCGAAAAAATTTATACCCTTTCCAAATATGAACATATCCACATATAAAATAAATAAAATATCCAAAAACTTTTACCTCTAAATATCTATTATATACCGTCACCAACGAATTCATACCGCAAGCATTACGAATACTTAGTGTCAGATATTTAAATTATTTCCATGCACGTTTACTTCAACTTAAACTTATACCAAATTCCTACAAACATAAAATTCACAAAATAACTATCATTTAATTAAAATATCACTAAACCATGTACACGTCGACATATTTTTACTTAAAAAAACATTCCAGAATTGCACAAAAATGGCATTGCGCACACTCTTCACTATATCCATGTACACTGCTTTTTTCTCATAAATTAGAAAAATTTCACGAAAATACATGACAATTTTATGAATTTTTAAACCCGGTAAAAAGAACATATATGAAATTACCTGATCGCGAAAAAGTTTATACCCTTTCCAAATATGAACATTTCCACGTATAAAATAAATAAAATATCCAAAAACTTTTGCCTCTGCATTATCTATTATATTACAAACGTCACTAACTAATTCATACCTTTACTTCATTACAAATGGTTACAAATACTTAGTGTCAAATATTTAAATTATTTCCATGCACGTTTACACAAATTACTTTACTTCCACCTTACATTTAGAACAATGCATAAAAATAATATCCTCAAATAATTAAAAATACTAACTTACGTATTCTTCTTCAGAATCTGATTACGTGTCCGATAAACTTTTCTTATTTCTGGTTTCAGGATCTTTAAAATCATACTTATAGTTCACACCAAGGTACAAGGTAAAACCATAAATAAAATAAACTTAATAAAACATCTTTACTTCTATCTCGCACAACCTTAAAGAAACACTTATTACCCCTTTCAATCCCACTAAATACCCATTTCGAATTCAACTTTAGTTAGGGCCATGGGATCCAAAAATATCCAAAAATCGAACACTTTCACACAACACAGAATAAAGGCCAAATACAAAATTTCCAGGATTTTTCCCAATTTCACCCCTTTTCCGATTAAAGAACAGTAATTCGTCCATTAATATCACATGACATATCATATGATCTCTCATTTCCCTCACACAAAATAATGTGTAATCGGAACTGAGTACTGCTCACATTATTACCAAAGTTCCAGGTAGTAACCTTTATCGCCTCCAAAATGTCGCCAAACTACCAGTTACCATATTGTAAAGGTCAGCCGAAAAAAGCAGTGTACATGGATATAGTGAAGAGTGTGCGCAATGCCATTTTTGTGCAATTCTGGGATGTTTTTTTAAGTAAAAATAAGGCGACGTGTTACATGGTTTATGTGTATGTGTTATGTGAAAAACGCGCAAGGAGTTTGTGATTGTGCACTTGTCCCAATTTGCAGTGAATATTTGTCATGATTAAGCAGTTTGTTAGATAAAATACTAGTATAAGTGTAATTTGGCTAGTAGATTGTTGGAAAAAGTGTTCAGTAAATAAAAAGAAAAGAAACATGTCTTTACTTCGTGAAGACAAAATGGTGGCGGAAAAAAAAAAAAAATAGAGGGTTGCTGTAGCAGGGTTGGTCGCCAAAACATCGCCAAGTTACCATAATCCAAAGATCAACCATGAATTTTAGTTTTCAAAATTTATTCGCTTTCTATGCTATCGCTAAAGTGCGAAAGTTGTTAATGTGCGCACTGCCTAGGTAATCTGCAGATTCACTGATTTCCTCCATTAAAGTGTGGAATTAAGAGTTTTTCACATTTTACCTAGGTGAATATGTACATTAGTGGTTTCTGTATAATTAAAGTTCAGAAGTTTCCTTTTCCTCGACTTCGCACATTACGTACTAGGCACTCACTAATCTGCACATTGCCTACTAGGCACTCGTTAAACTGAAAATAAGGTCTTTGCTGGAACAAGAGCAATTTTTCTGTGTGCTTAAATTAACATAATGTTATTAATTTATTTTGCGATATCCATAAAACCAAATTAATACAATCAACAAATTAGTTGGTAGAATCAATTATCAATCAATTAAAAAATTATTATACGAAGAATGAATTAGTTTACACTATTACAATCAAGGAAATGAATTAGCAAAACCTTGGTTATTTTCTCACTCCTTTCTGCATGCCTTCATGGTGTAATGGTTAGCACACTTGGCGCATAGTTGAGAGGTCCAGATTTGAGTCCCGGCAAAGGCATTGCTCATTTGTCTCTTCTGTTAAAAAATAAATAAATAAATAAATCTTAATGATTCTACATTAGCACCTGAACTAAAAAGGGGAGGGATGATGATTCTTTACCATCAAGATTTGGCAATTGGATTCTCTAATCCTCAGTCACCCTTTAAAAGAGGGTATTTTCTGCCTTCTTTCTGCATGCCTTCATGTGTAATGGTTAGCACTCTTTGTGCATTTTTGAGAGGTCCAGGTTCGAGTCCTGGTAAGGGCATTGCACATTTTTCACATCTTTGCTTCCATAAAATCCTAATGACTCTACAATATGATAAACTATGCTTACTTATTAGTGCAATCTAAAAATTGATGACCCTTTGAATTATATAGCAGTTAGATTTTGCTAGAAGCACACCTATCATTTAGATACGCAGTTGCATTTTTTTAAACCCTGCCCAATCAACAATTTAAAAGTGTAAGTGGTTCCTGTTTTATGTGTACAGAAACATTACTGTTGTTCCAGCAAAGCTCCTATTTTCACTTTAATGAGTGTTTAGTAGGTATTGGGCAGATTATCTAGGCAATTTGAGAAACGAAACAATTTTCTGCACTTTAATGGACACCCTTGTTAATCGGCAGATTACCTGCAGGACAGTTGATTTTCGTACTTTAGCTGTAACATCTAGATTTTTAATAAATCAACGTAGCATTGTTAATGCATATTATTGTATGAAATAAAAAATTTAACAGTCACTTTTATTATTTAAATAATATATCTACATAGTAATATAAAGAATATTTTCTAGGAGAAATTTGGTCATCCTAGTTGTCATAAGAGTTAATGGAACACAGAACCATACTTATGGTCCTGAGTTCAAATCCTAGATAAGACATAGATGTTTTGTGACTGTTTTATGTTTCTCGAATAAATGTTATTAAAATCCATTGATTCAAATTTCCTGAACAGATCAGTGGTAGGAGAATAAAAATACTTGATTCTCAGTTTCTTTCATCATGCTTTTGAATAGAAATGGGGCAGAACCTAGGCAGATTGTATTGCATTATTTGCTTTAAATAAATACAGTCAAAAGTCGTTAATCCGGACTCGTCGGGACTTCGGCGATTCCGGATTATCGATTTTTCCGGATTATAGATCATCGGTTTAAATCTGGTAAAATAGCATGCGGAAATTATAAAATTAAAAATATAAAACCGTAATTTACGAAATAAAGAACAATTATGATCTAAAGGGTATCAAAATTTACAAAAAAAGCTTAATATTTATTTGTTTACTTTATTAAACATTTCTTCAATGTAAGTTGTTTAAGTTGCTTCGTTTTTATGTGATAATACATTCTTTTAATTCATAAACAGACATAATTTCTTGTTCAGTTACAAAGTTCCGCTGTTCACGTCCTATAATTGCGTGTCGAGAATACCGACTAATTTGTCAATCGAAATTTTTTCGTTTTCAATAACCTCTGTCACTTTCTTCGCTATCGGAAGCGAATTATAATGACGAGGCATTTGATTTAAATCATATCAAAGATGAAGTACATCAAGATGGAAATACTACATTGAGTAAGCAATTATAAGCCAAATAAAAAAAAACATCTGCCCTTAAGAAAGGATAAGGATAGTGAAATTCATTGCACCCCGCCGCGTTAAAGATAAACAAAGTTTAGATAAACAAACGTTAAAGTTTAGATAAACAAGCGTTAAAGTTTAGTTAACAAAATATATGCCTTTATCCTTTTTTTTGCCAGCAATTCCACTTTTGTGTTTAATGGACTCCGAAAGATACTTTCGCTTGGTATATCCTTTACATATTAGTAAATATATATCGGAAATCTATTTGACAAAATCGAAAGTTTAAGCTTACTTTTTAAAATGCTAAAAGTCTGCAAAAATAATAATCCGGATCCAATTCGAAGATTAAGGAACAACGCAATCTGCAACATTAACTGAAATAGATAATTAGATATTTTAGCTTAGTTTATCCCATCCGTTATACATTAAACGCGCATTCGTAAACGTATTTTGCGCACGCGCACACGCAAATTCGTAGCGGTAAAGGTCTTACGCGCATGCGTCAACAAGACGCATGCGCAGAAAGTTTGTAGCTTTGAGGTCCGGATTATAGATCATTCCGGATTATGGGTGTCCGAATTAACGACTTTTGACTGTAGTACAATCCAGCAAACTTTGAATCAGGTTTAAAGCTAACAGATATTTCAGTCAAAGGTAATCATTCTTGAGTAACGATTTTGATCTGTTTTTTTATATACAGGCTCTGATTTTATATAATTTTACTAACTGCTAAAGAAGTTATAATAATAAAAATGTTGAAACTAACCTATATAACCAATTATTATGTGGTAAATTGATAAAAAAATTTTTTTTTTTTTTGTGTTTTCAGTCTATTAGTCATTGTTTGTAATTTGTAAAATAGTTGAAATTTAATTTTTATAATCTCCTGTGTAAGCTGTAATTTAAACCTTCTAAATTCTTCTTTTAGGAATTGGAGCTTGCGCCTCCTGAAGTGGGTTTTGACCGAGCCCGCATGGAAGATTTACTAAAGAGACGCTTCTATGTTGATCAGTCATTTGCAATTTATGGCGGTAAGTTATTAGTGATATACAGGTGCTGTTAACACATTTTTGTAATGATTTTGATTTTTAATAATTGAATTTAAATATTAATTTTAAAATATACACATGACTGGCATCAATTTGGAATAAGGTTTAATTATTGTCTGCATCATTAAAAATATTCTTTTCTTTAAAATGTGTCTGAAAAATAAACAATGGAGCGAAGGCTATATTTTTGCTCTGTTCAAAGGAAATATTCTTATTCAATTATTAAAAAAAGATGTGAAAGCATGGTTTCAATATTTCTACACGTAAAACAAGTGACATTAATATGAAAGGAAAGAAATGTCAAAGTTTACATCCGACTCAGGAAAATGCATACCCAAAAAAGGTACATACAGCTCTTATTAAATCTGAAGTCACATCTCATATTTTAAAGAACAATTCAGCCCTCCAAAGAGCTATTGCAAAATCTTTAAATATCTATGTAGAACTGTGAACAAAATTATAAAATTTGATTTAAAGCTAATCAAAACAAAACAAACATCCCCCCCCCCAAATGATGTTCATTGTGTAATGCCAAAACGTGTTTCTCATTTTGAGAAGTATGGGCAAATTGCTGTATGGAAATTATTTGGCAGGTGAGAAATAGAAATATATAGCTACAATTGATGATGCTTGGATATAGTTATCTGATTGCAATAGAAAAAGATTGATTTATTTCTGAAAAAAGAGGAGAAAAAGGCTTAATATGTTGGTTCAGAGAAAACAAGGAAAGTTCTCTGAAGATTTTATGATTATTACTGGATTCACTTATAATGTAAAACTTAAAATAAGGAAAGTAGGAAAAAAGCCAAAATTAATTCAGATTACTATAAGAAATATGTTTTCACACCTATTTTTAAAGAGGAAATTCCATCTCTGTATCCAAACAATCTTCACTCTGTTAAGTTCCATCAGGGTAAGGCTCCAGGCCATACCTCTGAATCTACTGCTTTGTTTTTTGAAAAAAATAGAGAAATGAAACTGGAATTAAAGCTATTCCCTTTAAATGTATCCCACCCAAGTCTCCTGATATGTCTTCTGTGCATTTGGTTTTTTAAATCAAGCTTTTTGTAAGTAGCATCCCAAAACATTGGATGAAATCTGGAAGATTGTGAAGGAGGAATGGAATAAAATCAACCTTGATGTTTTAAGAAAAGGACCTTTATCTTAGAAATCAAGATGTAATATATGATAGTTCAACAAAAGGACTATCAGTTTGAACATATTAGAAAATAAAAGGTAAAAATATATTTACGGGTGCCCCTTGGCGAAAATTGACGATTTTTGGCAGTACATGGATGCTGACTTGTACAATTCTCTGACTTGTTGTTTTGGCTTTGTAGCGGTGATTTTTGTTTGGCGCAAAAATCGCTGCTACACAAAGACAAAATAACAAGTCAAAGAATTGCACAAACTCAATATCCATGTACACATCAGCATATTTTCACTTGAAAAACAAATCAGAAAATTGCACAAACTTGGTATTGTGCACTCCCATGATTTTATCCATGTACACATAGACCTATTTTCACTTCAAAAAACATCAGAGAATTGCACAAACTTGGCATTGTGCACTTCCTTCACTTTGTCCATGTATATGCATCGATCAATTTTAACTTGAAAAGTCAAAGGAGCTCCCAATTCTACAGTAAAGCCAAACAAAAATTACATAATCTCAATAAACATTTAAATCAAACAATAAAAAAGATAACATAAAAAAGGAAATTCATCTTATGCATTTAAGCACTACACAAAACAAATATCCACTTACCTTATTTAGAAATTTCTGAGTCCTTCAGTCTGTGGTACACAAAATTCCTTAACAGCATCCAAAAACTTCCTAAAATTATCTGAACTAGAATCTGTATATCATCATCGGCATATAAATTCACAAAAATAAGAGTTAAAAAAAATATCCTCCGTAGTGTCGATGTCCTCTGACATTCAACCATATGCAATTCCTTCCTACAAACAGGACATTATAATGGCTACTAAGTAAACCTTCATTTATACACCGGTCAATTAATGCATTTTCCTCATTTCGTTCCAAATCGTACAGAAACTTCGAATTAATCTTAACACATTCAGCCATTCTACCATCTAAACCACAAAACAATGTACTTCCTTACCAACACACACCACAAGCCCTTACAAATCTTTTTCCTGTCATTCAAAATTTACGGCAATCATGCAACTGATTACATCATAATAGGGTTTCCCATGACATTCATCTACACAAGTTATCATAAATGAAACAATAAATTAGCTAGAAATGAAATAACAACTTTGTGATAATACAAGGGGCACCCTTCAATCTACTCTAACCAAATAAAATTCTAAGATTTGTTTATATATAAATCTTTTCAAAATCAATTATAAAAATGTGTGAACACCCTCTGTAATTAATAATTTCATTTTAGATTTGCTCTTTTAAAGATAAGATAAAATATTTTATTTAATATTATTTATATTATTTTCCTGTATTTAAGAAGACTGACTAAACCTCAAACATTGTATAAGTTAAGAGCAGTAGTGGTTATTAGAAGGGATTTTAATATATGATCTACTCTCGATTTACTGAGGTAATACCAAAAGTGATCATAATTCATAATCATAGTTATTCCAAGGGCAGTCTCATAGGAAAGAGAAATAATCACTATTATAATTAATAAAAATATTCTTAAAAAGTTACCTTTATCAAGTATAAGAATAAGTTTACCTAGTTATAAATTAAATCAATATTAAAAAAGAATTATATTGTAAATAATGGTAGAATAACCATGATTGGAGATGAAGGAATTAAGCTATAAAATAACATTAAAGAATATTATAAGAGACCTTGGACAATTTATTGATTTTAGACTCTATACCCTTATTATATGCACTTAAATTATATACTTTTGTAGCTCCAAATACTAACGATAAATACTCGCAAATGCTAACATCATATGCTGTCACTGCTGTTATTCCATAGTTTTTTTTTTTTTTTTTTTTTCTCTTTTTGTAGTTTTCCATTACAAACATAAAGTAGTAACATATTAATTGAATTAAAAATGTAACAATGATAATTTGGACGCTTGAAAGTGTAGTTAATGTTTGTTTTGTGTTCCCCTCTTTTTTTTTTTTTTTTTTCTGTTGCTGTTTTGTTTTAAAGAAATATACATCACAAGAATTATCATGTACATTTGGAAATTATCACATCTTTGGAAAGATATATTAACAGTTCCACATATGAAGTGAACGTGCTAAGACGCTGTAAGTTAATGACAAGTTCTGTTCGAAATTTAACTGTTTGCTAAAAAAAAGTACTGAAAGTAAAAAAGTACTGAAAATATAAAAACATTCCTTGAAGTAAAGTATTCAACTATCTGATATGTTAAAATGATGGCAGTTGCATGCAGTTATTAAAAAATTGCTATGAAATGTGGATTGTATTCCAAGCTAATGTGAAGGAGATGGAGATTTATTGTAAGAAAATTCATCGGATTAGGAGAATAACCTGCAACAAAAGCTAATTTTGAAACTGTTAAAAGAGTCATTAGGACATATGGATACAATGGGCAATAGCAAGAAGAAAATTATTTGTAGATAAGAAAACAATAAATATTTGTTCGGCATTTGTGAATTCCTTTGTAAACAAAAATTCATCCATTGTTCAGCATTGGAACACTATTGTATTTATGAGTGAGTAAAAATTTAATATATTTGGGTTCAACAGATGAGCTGTTGCGAGATAAAACCAAATGAAGTAATGAATCTGAAAAAACTGTTGCCAAGCATAAAGGTAAAAGTATAATGGCTTGGATATGCTTTCACTGCCTTTGGGATGGGAAATTTACTTTTTATAGAAAATAATATGGATCAGAATAAATACAGTCAAAAGTCTTTAATCTGGACTCGTCGGGACTTCGGCGATTCCGGATTATCGATTTTTCCAGATTATAGATCATCAGTTTAAATCTGGTAAGATGGAATGCAGAAATCATAAAATTAAAAATATAAAACCGTAATTTATAATAATAAGCAATTATGATCTAAAGGGTATCAAAATTTACAAAAAAAGAAGCTTAATATTTATTTGTTTACTTTATTAAACATTTCTTTCAACGCGCGCATGCGTACCTTACGCATAGCCAAAATTAGAAAATTGCAACCAGAAAACTATTTGATTGTATTCGTGATATTATAATGATGAGGAATTGATTTAAATCATATCAAAGACGGAGTAGACATCGAGATTAAATACTACATTTAGTAAGGAATTATAAGCCGAATAAAATAAAAAGATCTGCCCTGAAGATAACGATAGTGCTGACAGATCAACTTCCAGTTCATTGCGCGCCGTGATGTCCCCCCCCCACGCAGAGCAGTGTGAAATTGATAAACAGATTTCGGAACGGTTAGATAAACAAAGGAACCTTTATTCATTTTTTGTTTGATGGACATCGAAACATACTTTCGTTTTCTAGATGCTTTGGGAGCTCGAGCATCGGAAATTCTATTTGACATAATCGAAAGTTCAAGCTTAACTTTCATAAAATTGCTCTTACAGTCTGAAAAAAATAATAAGCCGGATCCAATTCGAAGATTAAGGAACAATGCAATCATCAACATTAACTGAAATAGATAATTTTAGCTTATACCATCCATTATACATTAAAAGCGCACGCGAAAACGTATTCTGCGCTTGCGCAGACGCATATGCGCAGTCGTAAATGTCTTGCTCGCACGCGTAAAACGTCTATGAGCATGCGTCAACGCGGCGCATGCGCAGAAAGATTTTAGCTTTGAGGTCCGGATTATAGATCATTCCGGATTATGGGTGTCCGAATTAACGACTTTTGACTGTATATAAATATTCTTAATAGAAGCCTGAAAGCATATGCAGGAAAATTTGGAGTAGAATAGATTCAAGTTTTAACAGGATAATGATCCCGAACATACAGCTCTAAATATCCACTTTTGGTTATTGTACAACTGTCCTGAAGTTATCAAAATTTCTCCATATTCTCTAGACTTAAATCTTATCAAACATATATAGAGTTGGAGAAAAGAATAAATAAATATATTTCTTCAGAAGCTGTATCAAAAGAAATTCTTATGGAGGAATGGAAAAATAGGGAACATTATTAATAAAAATATTAGTGAATTGCATACCAGAGTGCATAAAAAGTGTATTTTTAGTTGAAAAGTGTCTAACAAAGTGTTGGATGTCCCATTATTTGCATGTTTTTATAAAGTATAAACTGCTTGTTTAGAATGTCCACATATTTATGTAAGTTCATTTTCTAAACTTTTTGAATAAATCTTTTTTTTTTTTTTTTTTTTTTTTTTTTAAGTAGGTTTTAAAAAGATGACCAATGAAATGTCATTTTGCTTAAATTACATATATTTGCAAGTAAAACTGAAAAAAACACAAATGTCCAAAAAGAAATGTGAGCTACTGTATATGTTTCATGGTAATAAATGATCAAATATTTTTGTATTTATACATGTTCAGCACATGTGTAACATTGTGCAAGTTTTTCAGTGGTTTTCTGCATACATCAAGTTTTTCAGTGGTTTTCAGTGTTTCACATTGTTACTAATGTAAGGAATTCTGCCCCATTAGGGAGAATAATAAGATTATTTAGTATATAATCTCGTTTGACAAAAGTAGTTAGAATTCTATTGAAATTATGTAACTCATTAGAATATTTAAAAATTGAATCTTGATTTAAATAAATAAATCGTTATAAATTGCCTATTACTTGTGCTAAACCTGCAAAGTAATAAAATAATAATTTATTTTCTAATAGATTATTTAGTATATCATCTCCTTTGATATATTTAAAATTGAGTTTTATAGCATCTTAATTATTTCAGGTGTTACTGGACAGTTTGATTTTGGCCCAGTGGGATGTGGAATAAAAAATAATATTCTAAGTCTTTGGAGATCTCATTTTATTTTAGAAGAACAAATGCTAGAAGTTGATTGCACAATTCTAACACCAGAGAATGTTTTAAAGTAAGTATTAATTATTAAAAATTTCATCAACCAGGCTTAGAACTCTTCTTTCCCAAATAAATAATGTACAGTGTCTCACAAAAGTGGTGGGACACTTGTGCTTTACAAAAGGAAAGTTTAATAAAATAAATTAAAAAAACATGTAAAAATTTTTTGTGAGTGTGTTTCATACTTAAATTTAGTAACAATTATTACATAATATACATTTTCTCAAAATATTAAAATATTAATTTAATAAAAATACAATTGTTTAGAACGGAGCAAAAAATGGCTCACATAAGTGATGGGACACCATTAGATACTACTACGTACTACAATAAAAATATTTTTGGGGGTTTTTTTTACTCAAAAGCAATTTGCCAATAATTTATAAAATCCGTCTGCAGTATTTCTCTCCAGTTTGTTTTGGAATTTTTTGTGTTTTTAGCTCTGTGCAGCCATGAATGCTAAACGAAAAGAAACTTTGCCTGAAATTCGAAAATTAGTTGTTAATTTGCATATTGAACGTGGAAAATCTATTAGAAAAACTGCTGAAAACTAATTATTCTAGTTAACTTGAGTCATTCAACCGTTTTTAATATCATTAAACGATATAAAAAGAATAATATGATTCAGGATAAAAGGAGACCTGGCCGACCATCAAAGCTATCTAATGGAATAAAGCGAATTATCATTCGAATTATTAAAAAAAAAAAATCCAAGAATGAGTGCTGCTAAAGTTACTGCTGATTTACAAGCATTATATGGAGTAATTGTTAATCCTGAGACTATTAGAAGAGTAATTCGATCTGCTGGATATCACGGTAGAGTAGCCAGGAAAAAATTCTTCGTAAGTGAAAAGAATAGAAACCTCGGACTGGCTTTCGCAAAATCCAACATAAATAAGAATTCTGATTACTGAAATGAAGTTATATTTGCTGATGAGAGTAAATTTAATATTTGGTTCTGACGGTAGAATCTTGTTTGAATCTTGTGTGGAGAAAACCCAGGGAAGAATTCGCAAACAGAACTTGGTGCCAACAGTAAAACATGGTGGAGGAGGAGTTATGGTATGGGGGTGTATGTCGTCAGCTGGAGTTGGTAATCTTGGTTTTATTGACAGTATAATGGATCAGTACAAGTATATTGACATTAAATCAAAATTTGAAATCTTCAGAACGAAAATTGAACCTTCATAACGATTTTAAATTCTACCAAGACAATGACCCCAAGCACACTGCTTTGAACGTTAGACTCTGGCTGCTGTATAACTGTCCTGAAATAATAAAAACACCACCACAATTTCCAGACTTAAATCCCATAGAGAATATTTGGCAAGAATTGGAATCAAGAATTCGCAAACACACCATTTCTTCAAAACAACAATTAAAATCGGTGCTTCAACAAGAATGGTGTAAAATCACTCCAGAAATCACAAAAACATTAGTCGAATCCATCCCAAGAAGATTAAATCATGTTTTAAAAGTAAAAGAAATCCAAGAAAATATAAAAAACCTTTTAAAAAGTAAAATTTTTGGATAAATATTTGATGGAAAAGTAAGCGTCCCATCACTTATGCGAGCCATTTTTGGCTCCGTTCTAAACAATTGTATTTTTATTAAATTAATATTTTGAGAAAATGTATGTTATGTAATAATTGTTACTAAATTTAAGTATGAAACATACCCACAAAAAATTTTTACATGTTTTTTTTAATTAAGTTTACTATAGTTTCCTTTTGTAAAGCACAAGTGTCCCATCACTTTTGTGAGACACTGTACATTTTCACTTTAGTCTGTGTTTTTTTTTTTTTTTTTTAATTCTTTTTCAGTTTTACATAAACTCTTTTATTTTATCACCTTAGATTAGATCTTGAAAAGAATGAAATAAGGAATAATATATCTGTCATGCAAAAGGTTGATAAAACATTATTTAGATAGTTTTATTATGTTGTGGAAATAAAATTCAGTAGAAATCTCTTTGAAATTCACAATTAAAGAGTTTTATGTAGCCTTGAAAAGTTAATGCACTAAAAATATTTGATAGAAATCTCTTTAAAAAAAAGGTATGTTAGGGACATATTTTGTGCTAAATACAGTAAAAGAGGTCTATATTTAGAGGGACGATATATAGGGTGTCCGTAATTAAACTTGAAACTTGCAAGCAGTCGTTTATTCTTCATTTTAATTTGGGTATATTGACCTTTCTATTCTAAAATAGTAAATGTTTATACTATATCAATTTAAATTGCATCATTTCAAATTAATCTTCATCATACAATATTACATAATGCTACAATGCAGGAACATTTTAGTCAATCAGATTAAAGATTTCAATTGAGAACCAAACATTTTTGTCTGAATGCATCACTTTTCACTTCTGCTTCACTCTTGCAACTTGCCACTGACTGCGGTCTTCAAAAAGATATACTTCATAGGTTTATCTGTATCGATGTGAAAATTCTTTTAGAGCAGGATCATTTTACTTATGTTAGCTTGATGAAAATGTGTGTCAGCCATGATTAAAAGGGAAATAATTAAGTTCACCTATATCTGCTACTTTCTTATGTATGCATTGCCAAATCATTACATGTATATGTATGTAATAATCTATTTGTATGATGATGTAGAACTTGATGATAAAGCTGATGCCTGAATTAGTCACAATCATGGCTAGTTGCACATCTTTATTAATGACTAAACATTCTGAATAAAAACACGAGGCTCAGTTGATTCAAAACGTGACCATGCTTCAATAATTAATACATTCTTTTCACATATTCATATGAATATATTTAAAGTAAGAAAGAGAAAGTGAGAAGAATGCATAGATTATGATATACTGAAATTAGATTAAAAATAATCAAATTGTGTCTTTCTTTTATTTCTGTTAGTTAATTAAGATTTTTATTCAAAAATTTTTATCATTCTTATTGCATAAAAGTTCTTTTGCCATTTTGTAAGGATATGTGTCATGGGCAGGGTTAATTGTCAGTCATAAGGCAGTCATAAGTTAATTGTAAGCTTGTTACCATTTTAACTAAAAGAAGACTTAAAGGGTTATGCAAATTAAAGTTAGAATTTTATCTTAGATAAGTAATTGTATGAGAAATATGACTGTCTTGTAAACCTAAATTCAAGTATATCATTATTTGTATTGAATAAGATTTTATTAAAATGGATTGTAGAGAATCATGTTAACTTTAAAAAATATTGCTTAATTTATTTCACAGATTTTATATTGTGTTGTTTTGATAATATTTTTCATGATTACTTTTCAAATTCCACATTATGATTTTAAATTCTATAGCTATTATTAAACTGATTAATTTTTCTGAGACATAAATTAATTTGTGATTTTTAAACTAACAGAGTGTTTAATTTGTTCAAAGAGCTTCTGGACATGTTGACCGATTTGCAGACCTGATGGTTAAAGATCTGAAAAATGGAGAATGCTTCAGACTAGATCATTTAATAAAAGGTAAATAGATTCATGAAATGTTTGTAGATGCATTGAAGTAACTGTGTTATATTATAAAAGTTAACATTTAAATTATTTTGCTGATAATTTAAAATAAGTCATGTAGAAAAATCGGAAAGAAATCTCATTTTCTAAGGTGGTTCTGCATCTTGATGATGTTTAATGCACTGGTCATCAAAATTAAAGGATAATGACAGAAATAAATCATAACTGATACTTAATGAAAAAAAATGGCATTAGCATATGCACGGAAGTGCAATTTTGTGTTCAGTAGTATTTAATTAACTTAAATAACTACGACATTGGTTGCAACATTAACTTAGCATATTTTTTCTCATTATTCTTTAATTTTGATAACCAGTATAATTTATTTGTATAACATTTTTCTTTCCTGTGGAAGAATAATAAAGATGTATAGTCATGATTTAGTAAACAGATAACTTATGATGAATTCAAGAGTACACTATAGTAATCAGTAACTTGCGATTGATGTGTTTGTGACACCTATTCCGTTTTATTGCATTTTTTGGCTAATACAGTTAACCATCCTTTCAACACGAACTCACTTAAGGCAAGCAATTAACATGAATGAAATTTCAGTTCTGGCAGCGAAAACCGCCAAGATTTAACTGAATTTAAAGGAAGTAACTGATGAGCATTAGTGACACCTTTTCCATTAAGTGACATTTTTCCACATAAAAATATATCACATTTTTATATTTTAATATAATAAAAAATTTTCCTGAATATAAATGTAGGGACCAGATGGATGTTAAAAAAGTTAGACTTCACAATTTTTACAAAATTGATTTCTTTAAATTAAAAATATCCAAACCAGGGTTTGTACGGTCCTTAAGAGTTTTTAAGTTTTTTAGAATCGATCTTTGGTCCTTAAAAGTCCTTAATTTTGGCCAAAATTGGCAGAAGATCCTTAATTTTAATTATGTGAAATTTCTGCCTGTTTTTACGACTGCCATTTTGAGTATGAATTAGCAGTTTGGAGGTATGCTTTTGGTGATTCACTAATAAATATGGTTATTTGAATGGGTTATGATTTTTCCTTTTTCTGATATAAATGGTGAGATACTCGAGTTTCTGAGCAAGAAGTGAAACAATTATTTCAAAATTATTTCACTTTTTTTAATGAAGAGCTCTTAAACAACTTTTCGCTTTTGGGGATGTGAATTCTTTTAATGAACGGCTCTAAATTTGGTGACTTATCAACATTTGGTGATTTTTAACATCAGTTTCGATAGAAAATTTCAAATTTCAAGATCTGGAAATTTTTCTATGATTTTTTTTAAACATTCTGACATTGATAAATATCATTAAAATAACGATAATATATTGAAATTATATTTAAAAAATAACATGGTAATTAAAAAGTATCTTCTTTTTAATTTTTTCATGATAAGAGTTTTTTCATGTAATTGTTAGAGTATTCAGAATTCTCAGAATATGCATCAATTTCTCTATAAAATTACTTTTTCACACTTTTTCCATTTGATTTTTTTTTTTTTTTTTTTTTTTTTTAATATTTGTAGCTGTTTGCTGTTACAAAATTGGTAGGCGTGATTTTTCTTTGGGACATTAGACATTGCAACTTGGAAAGTTTAGAAGGATTTGAAGGCAAGATTTATAGACCCACCATTCAGAAGATTTTAGAAAAACGTGACAAAATGAAAAATGTGTCAATGGTATTAAAACATTATGGATATATCTTACAGAAAGTTTGCAATGAATTTCTTACTTTTTGAAGAACATCTCGAAAAACAATGAAAACATAATATTTGAATGTTTTACTTCTGATACTAGAATCTCTTTCTTAACATGCTTATCTTCCCTTTATTTTCTTTACTTTTCACTAGACACAAGCATGGAAAATATTAAAAATGCTTCTAATCTTATCACATGGACAGGCATTATAGAAAGGAATTTTTTTTTATTAATAAAGAAATTGAAAACTGGCAATTTAAAAGATTCATCTAATATGTCTTAATGAATCATACACAGGTCTGATGCTAGGCATTTTCCCACCTGGTGCAATCACGTGGAATATTAAACTTATCTCTGTAAATCATAAATTTTGCTGATTGTTCTTGTTTAATTACATCACCACAAGCTGCGACTGAATAGGTCAGCATAAGAACATGCCTTTAAGTTCTTTTTAAATACAAGGCTTATATAAACCTTTGTCTAACTTTGTAGTTACTTTGAGACATAGCGATAACTTGCTTCACTTCTGTCGGGAGTTTTTGGACTATTTAATTTTTACCAGATCAATTAAACCCTCATAGGTACATTGTGGAGAGGTTAACAAGTTAGGAGATAAAACACGAAAAAACTAGTGAGAACATTGGTTTGTGTATTCAAATAAATTTTTAATTGTTAAGAAAGATGTTTAAAGAGAAGAAAATTGATATAAATTAATCCAAAATGTCTGGGAAGGCTTCAAATTAAAAAGATGCATAAATATTTGAATGTTGTTGCTACTTTTAATGTATAAATATCCTAATATTGGTTAAGAATCAATGACATAAATTGCATATATTTGCAAGTGTGAAATTTTATTAGATTGTGATTTTAATATTGACTTTTAACAATATTGTTAAAAAATAAGTAAAATTTAATTGTAGTCATATAAATCCATAATGACTAAGGTTATCTAACTATGTAATTTAATTTATAACTAACTGCTTACCCTTAAAAATTATCTTTACTTAATAAAGTGAGTTATTGCCTTTCATTATTCCTTAGTGGTACAAGGTAAAACACAAAAATGTGAAAATTCATATAAAACTTATTCTTAGTATCTAGCAAGACCTAAAATAATACAAAGCAACTTAGTGTCACCTCTGGTGCTTTAGTGGCTTATTGGAACCTTCAAGTATATTAACTGGGTTACAACCCCTGGAACTCTACATGGAGCTACGACACTAACTGCAACAGACAGAGCCCAACTAACTTTCAAAACTAGTTACTGTGCCCACATCAGTCCTTTCAGTTTTGTTCTGATCAGTAGGTCTCTCTCTAGGTAAGGAGCAGAGATGACAACAGCCAGTCTTTTATTATAAATCATTCTGATTATGATTTTATTTCTCATTTTAACCTATGATGCTTGACATAAAATCTACCTGCTATTTACTAAACCTCTAGATTGAGCAAGTAATGAGACATAAAAAAACTCAGCATGAAACTAACTATTAGTAAAACATAAATAAAATGTCACTTATCTTCTTTCAAATATGCCAAACTATTGTAAGTCTAAAATATTTAATGCTGTTTGATAAATTTCATAAAGTATATTTTATGCTCAAACTTATTAATAATTATGTTAATTAAGTTATGTTTAATAATAATGCATCATACTTACTGATCTATTTTGTTTTTTGGATGGTATTAACAAAAGTGAAGTTCAGGCACAGATAATATTTTAATTGAATTTTTTAATTTGCTATTTGCTCATAGGTCCTTAATGTTTTTCAGTAATGGTCTTTAAAAGTACTTAATTTCCATGTGCAAAAATGTGTACGAACTCTGCAAAACATGAATCTTTACATCATTTAAAACATTTTTTTATTTGGAGGTATATGTCTGTGACCAGTGTTTACTAAAAAATTATCTGGTTGACAGAACTTTTGTATAAGTTACCATCAAGTGTGAAATCTGGCCAGATTTCAAACTATATAGAATGTCTAAAACTAGCAGGCAATGTATGAAATGAGTCATATTTTACATATTTCCTAGGCATTCTATAGAATGGCAAATGTCAAACCCGGCAAAGTATGAAATACATTTCTGATTCTTTTCAAAGAACCAAAACTATTTACCAGAAGATAAGAAATTATGTAAAAAACCAAAATTACTACTAAGAAGGAGCCACGGGACTACTGGCTGCTGAATCGCTTAGATGTGATATTTGTGAAAAACAAAAGTACATTCATTTATCCTATTAAAGAAAGCATCAGTACTATAAAGTATTACATCATGAATGCTGAATTATTTCTCATGCTTCATGAAAACTCATTTGAGTACTCTACACGGCCAATGTGACAGAATGTTGAAAGAACTTTCAACTAAATACAGAATTGTTACGTGTAACAATGTTGAGCTGCACAACCACCTTTGTGAGTTGTCAACCACCAAAAATAAATTAAAAAGGGCATTGTTGTGAAACTTATGATTGTTTCTGAATTTAATTTCCATTGTCTGGTAGATCTTACTGATTCCCAGTCTCAGCCAGATAGGAAATATAAATTTATTATGTTGTATCATCTCTTCTTTTTACATATTTGGAATAACAGTGTTATAGCCTTCGTTCTACTGAGCCAATTGATGAAATTCAAATTGCATTTTTCATGTCTCGAAAGCACGACTTAGGATATATATTAGATTTAGATACAGCACTGTTCTAATATAGGTATTTTGACAAAAAATTATACTTTTTCTGAAATGAAAAGCCAAATGTTTTCCATATTTCGATTCTATGATTCAAATTATGCCTAAATATTAAATTTTGTAAAATTTGATACAAAATTTATGGAGAGGTTCAAAAAGGAATTACAGCAACACGTTTTCCTTTCCTTTTTTTCATTTTACATGAGTGGAAAAAAGGCATTGCTCATTACTTTCAAATAATTTTAACAAAGTGCATAAACTCTATTTAGCGTTATTCTCGTTTATAGCAAATATGCCAAATTTCAAAATGTGCCGTTATGTAAATACATGTATATCTTAGAAAATGTTGAATAAAAAAACTAATTTTTTGCATGTGTGCTAGAAATGCATCTACTTTAAGATGATGTTAAAAGTTTTATCGGTTATAACAAAAAAAATTTTTGAAAAAATTATAAAAAATGTGAATACATTTGGGTTAAGCCTAAATTTCAAATTCTGAAAGAAGGAATTAAGTAAGTATAATAAAAAAAGGGATACTTATAAATATATGCCAATTTCAATTAACATTGAGGAGCTAAAATTTTGAGAGCTATCTTTTTTAA